TCAGGCTGGCTCCCTGGCCTGCCCCTGTTTCCAGGCCCTCTGTTCTGGGGTGGCCCTCAGGCTGGCTCCCTGGCCTGTCCCCTTCCCAGGCCCTGTGCAGCCCACACTCCTTCCCACATGGGCTTAGCTGTGACTCTGAGCCCCATGGGCCGTGGGCTGAGACACCTTTCCGCTGAGGGCTGAAACATGGCAGAAGCCCGTCCCTAAGTCCTGCTTGGCCCTGCCCAGTCTGTCTTCTCCATCCTCGTGGTGGCCCTTGTGGTTGCAGGGGGGGAGGGGGGAGGGGGGAGACGGGAAGACTCTTACCAGAAGCTGAGGACGAGGAAGGTTCTTCACAGCTCTCTCTAGGAGGGCCTGGGCCTTGTCCCGATGCCATCTTTCAGGTTTCAGGGGAGGACTATGTCAGCCTACAGGGATGGATGAGAAAAAGTAGAGTTGGGAATGGGCAAGAGCCTCTAGCTGAGGATTCAAGATGGAGGGGGGGGGGTCTCCATTCCCAGAAAGTTCCTGTAATCCTTAGGACTTTTCTCCTTGTTCTACCACCTTGGGGACCAGCGGCAACTGCTGAGGGCAACAAGAAATCACTGAGCATCTTCCTGGCAATGCTTTAATCTTGGGGCACTCTGTCCCCTCCCTAGCAAGTCCTGAGAGTTCTCTGCCTCCCAGAAGGTCTTCCTTTCCCCCAGGGCCTACTTTCCCTTGGCTGATCAGGACACACCTTCCAATTCCTGTCTGTGAGCAGAAAATACTTCGTGTGTTTGTGTGTGCTGGTTCTGGGATTTGAGCTCTGGGCTTGGGTATGTCCCTGAGCTTTTGTGTTCAAAGCCAGCACTCTACTACTTGAGCCACAGCTCCATTTCCATCTTTTCTGGTGGTTAACTGGCGCTAAGAGTCTCATGGACTTTTCTGCCTAGGTCAGCTTTGAACTGTGATCCTCAGATCTTAGCCTCCTGAGTAGCTAGGATTACAGGTGTGAGCTGTTGGTGTCCAGCAGGACATACTGTATATTGCTACCACTTAGGAGCACTCTGGGTGTTGGATATTGAAATCTGACAGCATCCCAGCCAAGTACATACCATCACGTCCATTCTACAGCTTCCAGTCATTAGTGCCTGAGGACATGGAACCCGGGGAAGATGTTGGGTGCCTCCAACACTCACTTCCTGCTTGTGGACCTCTCTGGGTGCTCTTCTCTCAGAGCAGCTGTCTCCATTTGCTTCCTACCTGTGCCCACCTCCTCCTTGATGGCATAAAGCTGATGGAGCCCTCAAGAGTCCAAGCCTCCTTCATAGCCCCCCACTATGTACCCCCACCTTACCTGCCCTCCTATCCCAAGATTTTTTGTTGTTGTTGGTTGTGAGGTTTGAACTCTGGGCCTGGGCACTATCCCTCAGCTCTTCAGCTCAAGGCGAGCACTCTACTCTTTGAGCCACAGCGTCACTTCCAGTTTTCTGAGTGGTTTATTGGATATGCGTCTAATGGACTTTCCTTGCCTGGGTGGCTTTGAACCTTCATTCTCAGATCTCAGCCTCCTGAGTAGTTAGGATTATAGGAAGCATGAGCCACCAACACCCAGCTCTGGCTTTTTTTTTGTCAGTCATGGGGCTTGAACTCTGGGCCTGGGTGTCCCTCAGCTCTTCAGCTCAAGGCCAGCACCCTACCACTTGAGCCACAGTGCCGCTTCTGGCTTTTTCTGTTTATGTAGTGTTGAAGAATCGAACCCAGGGCCTCATGCATTCGAAGCACTCTACCACGGAGCCACCTTCCTTTTTTTGTTGGTCCTTTTAACTTTATTAGTTTATTTTTATTTTTTGTCGGTCGTGGGGCTTGAACTCTGGGTCTGGGTGCTATCCCTCAGCAGCACTTCAGCTCAAGGCTCTACCACTTTGAGCCACAGCAATACTTCCATTTTTCTGATGGTTATTGGAGTTAAGAGACTCATGGACTTTCCTGCCTGAGCTGGCTTTGAACCTCGATCCTCAGATCTCAGCTTCCAGAGTAGCTAGGATTATAGGTATGGGTCACTGGTACCCGACTTATTTGTTCAGTTTTAGTGTGTGTGTGTGTGTGTGTGTGTGTGTGTGTGCGCGCGCTGGAACTGGGGCTTGAACTCTGGGCCTGGACACTTTCTAGCTTTTAAGCGCAAGGCTGGTTACTCTATCACTTGAGCCACTGTTTCATTTTAATTGGAGATAAGAGTCTCACAGACTTCCCTGCCAGGATTGGCTTTGAACTGCAATCCTCAGATCTTAGCTTCCTGAGTAGCTAGGATTACAAGAGTTAGGCACTGGCACTAGGCTTAATTTTATTTTAGATAGGTCTTAACTCTGTAGTCCAGACTCGCCTTGAACTTCAGATTCTCCTACCTCAGCCTAAGGGCTGGGATGACAGGTGTGTACTACCAAGCCCAGCGCAAGCCATCTTCCTCAGTCTTGGCCTGTTAATCTTGCCCCAGGGCGTACTTCCTGATGCAAGCTCTTTCACTTTCAGTTTGCACCCCTTTTAGAGCCCCATTTCTTCCCAAGCTGCCTCTATCACCCTGGCCGGAAGTTTCCCTCTTCCAGTCTCAAGGATGGCCTCGCTTCCACTCTGGGCCAGCACAGCCCCTCCCAACCTATCTGCTCACCTGCCCGAGCTGGTAGCTCACATCCAAAGACTCAGATCAGAGGGTCATAGTTTGAAGCCGGCCTAGACAGGAAAGTCCGTGAGACTCACTCTAATTAACCACAAAGAGGCCGGAAGTGAAACTGTAGCTCAAGTGGTACAGCACTAGCCTTGAGCACAAAAGCTCAGGGAGAGCACGCAGGCTCTTGAGTTCAAGCCCCAGAATCAGATTGAAAAACAAAAGTCCCTTTGCCTCTCACCGAGTCAGCTCCTTCCTCAGGAAGAAACCCCGCCCCCCCTTCCTTGTCTCTAAACTCAGGCACCCTCAGGCTCAGGAGATGCTGACTGCCTCCCACCTCCCTCTAACACCACCCCAGCGGCTCACTACTGGGGAGCAGGTAGAGCCTCAGAACAGTCCCCAAAGCTAGAGGCCTGTGCTGACCTAGGCCTACTCCTGTCCCCCAAGCCAAGTGGCCTAACTTCCCATTCCACCCCCACCTCCACAGCTTGCTGGGCCCGGATGCATGTCCCTCCAAGAGATACGCTTGGCCAGGCCCTAGAACGGGTCTGGGGGTCCTGAGAGAGCAGAAAGCACTTGAAAGTTCTATCCCTGCTCTTGACCTTGGCTCTGACCTCTACTCCCATTCCCCCTCCCTCCCCCACCAGACTTCTGTCATCTAGGACCAACCTGAACTGCCACAAGGGAGAAAGGTGGCCGAAGGAAGGACATCCCACAGTAACTCAGTCCCGATCAGCTGCCCCCCCCCCAGCAGGCTTGAGGGACCGGCCCAGGCCAGCCTTTAGGACTCTGCTCCCCACAGGAGCCCCTGTGGGCTCCCTGCCCCACCCTGAGGCTGCCAGGAGTCAGAGGGTGGGGCAGATCCTGCCAGCTTACCTGCCCAGACACTGGACACAGACCTGGGCTGGCTCAGAAGGGCCGAGGTTGATTCCGAGGGGCTGCCGGCTGCTCCCCAGGCGCAGGGCTCCAGGCCCGTCTTCCAGGAACCGGCGTCAGGGAATTCCTGGTGTCTAGATGAAGCCTCTCTGCGTGTGCCCTGCCGGGCCCAGGGACCCGCTCAACTCCAGCGATCATAGAGGTGCCGGCAGTGCCCAGCGATGACCAGCTCCCCCTAGAGGAAGTTGCCTGGTGGCCGCCGGATGCGGATGCAGATGCACAGGCTGCAGCCTGGAGGGAAGATCTGCAGCCAGCCCAGCCCAGCTGCAGCTGCTGCCCACCGCCCCGCCTCCCCCCTCCCCCCCCCAGGTCCCACACAGGGTTCTGTTCTCTGCCTTTCCCATGATTCTCAGTTCTCACCCTCTGATCTTGCTCTTTTCCATCAGTCAGTACAAGTGAAAAACAAACACATCATTGTGTGGTTCTAAGCCTATGCACAACTATAGGCCATGCACTGAACTCCTGGAATCTTCCCAATAGCAATTGGAGATAGGTGTTGTCGGCTAAGCCCATGTTACAGACTAATAAACAGAGGTCCCTAAAGTCACTGAGTTGGGTGGATAATTGGACCCGGGAATAAGAATACCACATAGGGACTCAACCTGTGATTCAGGCACCTGCGTGTTTTCTGGAGGTCCCTAGTCCTGAAGGTGATAGGCAAGAAGCAGAGGTCAGACTCTGCTTACCTGGGGTCTGTGCTACCACCTAGACTCTGCAAGCCTGATGTGCAGAGAGGAAGAGGGTGGACCCTGTTATTTGATTGCTGGAAATGTTCCCAAGCACAGAATAAATTCTAGAAAGACATAGGGATGAACAGAGTCTATAACGGCCCTGCCCCATTCTGAGGATTTGTTTCTGCCCCCACCCCACCCCGTGCCCTCATCCTGCAAGGAAGCAGAAGTATGAGTCAAGAGGCAGAGTGACAGCCTTGAATGACAACAACGACAAAATCTAGGGGGAGAGTGCAAGTTCAAGCCTGAGCACTAGACCAAGCATCGTCTGAGCTGCCTCAGCCTGAAGTCCAACCTCCCCCCCCATTCCATCCCCCACCCCCACCTCATCTTTGCCTTCTAGAATTCCAAGTTTCCAACTGGAGGTTTTCATTTGAAAATGACTCCTGTTCTTAAGCAGTTGGTGCTAGGTAGGTTGCTTGGCTTCCTCAGGATGGGGGCTTCGGTCCCAACCCCTCGGTCACGATCACTGATTTTGGGGTGCTCTTCTCTGTTCTGCTTTTGTGGCTGGGTGGGCAGTCCAAAGCCCTGGTCTGGGGTCTGTCCTGGCCCCTTGCTAGGTAGAGCAGGATGCTGGCTCCCTTGGGATGGGCCTCCAGGGAGACACAGGGAAAATAGTGCCAGGATGCCCGGCCACCCTGCCCTGCCCTCTCTCTGTGATCACACCCGGCTCTTCAAGCCTGCTGCTGAACGAGGCCTTGGGGTTAGGCATGGGGGACATGAGCGCCCAGATCCCTAACCCCAAGGAGGTCCTGAAGCTCATAGCCCAGGGGAGAGAGGTGACTTAGTCTCACCCAGAGGAAGCTGGGAGGTATACCTGGCTACCTGGCTACCAGAGGAGGAGGAGGGGGGGGGAGAGGAGGAAGAATGGACAGGCAGAGGCTCTGGGGATTTAGGGGCCTCCTAGGTGAGTGTGGCTGGGGCTGGTGGGAGTCCAGTTAGGAAAGAGACCTGGGGTGAAGGAACTGGGAAGAGTCCTGGGTGTAAGATGGGGGAGAATCTGGGCTCCAGACGGCACAGCCATGTTGGGGAGGGTCTGTGCTTGAGAGTCTGTAGACAGGTGAGCGGCTGGAATAGGCAGGAGATGGAGGAAGTGGAGGCATGGCTCAAATGGTAGAGTGCCAGCCTTGAGGGAAAAAGCCAAGGGAGAGTAAGGCCTGAGTTCAAGTGCCCTTATCAGCGTGCACGCGTGCGCACACACACAGACACACACACAGAGGCAGTGGGTAGAGGTCAGGTATGAGGTTTGGAGTGTGGAGGTGGATGGAGGCCTAGACTAGTCCAGGCAGGAAAGTTCACTAGACCCATCTCCAAAATAAGCAGCAAAAAGCAGGGCTGGTGGTGTGGCTCAAGTGGTAATCCCGAGTCTCTGAGTAGAAACCCCATTATCACAAAAAGAGGGAGGGATTGGAGCTGTAGTTCAGTGATAGAGCCCTTGCCTAGCACACTCCAGGCCCTGGGTTGCATCCCCAGCGCCACAAAGTGATGATGATGATGACAATGATGATGATGATGATGATGATGAAGAGGAGGACTGAGGTCTGGACAGGAACATGCCACAGTGGCTCAGCCTCAGCCCTCCAGTACCTCTTGCCTGCCCTTGCCCTCCTGGATCCCCACTCCCACGGGGCGTGGCAGGCCCCCTGTGAGGAGGGGGTCTCTGCCTGCTCCTCACCTTCCTGTCCTTGACTTCCATGGGGGGCGTCCCCCCTCTATGACCAAGACCCCAGACCCCAGGAGGCATATCAGAGGCATGAGGGAGGGAAGAAGGAGGGGTCTAGCAGGTCCGGTTCCTGTGTAGTGGTGATGGGGTCTCTACCTACCTCCCCTATGACTGTGCTTTGGGATTAGGGCCCACTTTGCCCACGCTCTGAAGATGGAGCAAGAAGACCCACAGAGAGCCACGGAGTTGCTGGCGGCCAGCACTGTGGCCTTCAGTGGAGAGGAGGAAGTACAGGAGGAAAAGGCAAATGAAGAGGAGGAAGAGGAGGAGAGCCTACTTAAAGGTGAATATGGCGGCTGCAGGTAAGGAGGGAGCCAGCAAAGGACTTTCTTCCTTTAGGGTGTGGGATCCGGCAGGACACAGGACCCAGTCTCAGGGAATAGTGGCGTCTACACCAAGCAACTAGCATTGCTCAGACTCTTAAGTTAAAACAAGAAGAACTGGCTCCTTTCTCTGAAGGTATTTGCAAGGATAGGCTAGGATGCTGGCAGTCAAGGGCCCATGCACAGCAGGCTTTCAGTAAAGAGCACAGGGTATGGTGGCACACACCTGTAATTCCAGCTATTGGGGAGGCAGAGGCAGGAGGATCATGGTCAGAGGCCAGCCCTGGAAAAAGCATAAGACCCTATTGGAAAAAAACAACAAACTAAAGGATCAGGGAGAGGGTGCCTCAAAGGGTATAGCACTTGCCCAGCAAGTAGGAGGCCCTGAGTTCAATCCCTAACACAGCGTAGCCCCTCTCAGCCCCCCCCCCCGCATCCCCAGAACGATACCAGGAGTCCCCACCCCAGCTGCCAGCCCATTAGTGACCACCACCACCCCTTCACAGGTGACCTCAGATGGACCTCTTCCCAGATGGGGGCCACTCCTTGGCGCCACCTCCTCAATTTATACAAGCAGTTCCAGAAATCAGCCATGACCAAGGTCTGTTGGGGGTGTGGGGTGCCCTCCTTCCCCTGGGTGGGCCCACAGTCCCCATCTTGACAGTTCTCTCCTGGGGTTTGGGGCTGGGGTCCTGTCTGCTCAGGGACCTTGGCCTGGTTTTTGTTGTTTTTTTTTTCTTCAGTTTTCTTACCAGGAAGACTTGTCTGATGAGGAGAAAGGAGAGGAAGTGGAGGAAGAAGACAGCTCGGCCAAGCTCTGTGACACACACATTGCCACCTCCCAGTCACCACCGCAAAGGACTTTTATGTCCACAGAGTCACTAGGTATGCGCCTCAACCACTGTCCACAGGCCCAGACGCCCACTTTGAGTCAGTGGCTCAGAGATGCAATATAGAAATTGACCACCAGATGGCACAAGAAGACCTAAAATGACCAACTACAACAAGACCAGCAAGTGGTTGGTTTGGAGGCCTCTAGGCCTAGGATCAGACTCATTCTGATTTGGGAGGTAGCAAAGTGTAGGTGGGGTCGCTCTAGCACATCCTTGTCCTTCCTGGAGGCTTCTAACTCCTTGTGTGGCCACCCCCATCCCTAGATCCATGTCCCAGTGCAGTCCCAGGCTGGGTTCAGTAGTAATAACATCCAATAAAAATCGTTGTGGGGCTGGGGCTAGGCTGTGGTGCACAGAGACTTGCTTGGCATGTGTGAGGCTGTGGGTTCACCCTCAGGCATCAAACAAAAACAGAAAGAAGATGAAATGTTGCCATTTATAGAGCCATTACTAGGGCCAGACTTTCCTGTCAGCATATAACATAAAATACAGCATTTCAGAGGTACTGGCTCATGCCTGTAATCCTAGCTACTCGAGAGGCTGAGATCTGAGGATCACACTTCAAGGAAAGTCCACGAGACTTTTTTCTAGCTACCAAAAAGCTCAGTGCCACAAGACTTCAGATGCCAGTCTCAAGCCCAAGTTGTGTATGTTTGTGTGTGTGTGTGTGTGTGTGTGTGTGTGTGTGCGCATGCGTGTATACTTGTATATGCAGGTATGTATGTGTGTGCAGTACTGGGGCTTGAACTCGGGTTGAAAGCACTGCCCCTTATTCTTGTTTTTTTCTTGCTCAAGGCTGGCACTCTACCATTTGAGCCACAGCTCTACTTCCAGCTTTTTGCTGGTTAATTGGAGATTGGATCTCATGGACTTTGTACTTGGGCTGGTTTTTTTTTTTGTCGGTCGTGGGGCTTGAACTCTGGGCCTGGGCGCTGTCCCTCAGCTCTTCAGCTCAAGGCGAGTGCTCTACCACTTGAGCCACAGCGCCACTTCCGGTTTTCTGGTGGTTTATTGGAGATAGGAGTCTCATGGTCTCTCCTGCCCGGGCTGGCTTTGAACCGCGATCCTCAGATCTCAGCCTCCTGAGTAGCTAGGATTACAGGTGTGAGCCACCAGCGCCCGGCCTTGGGCTGGTTTTGAACCTCAATCCTCTGATGTCAGCTTCCTGAGTCACTAAGTTACAGGCATAAGCCACCATTGCCCAGTTTAAGTTTTTTGTTTTGTTTTGCTTTTTGAGATGAAGTCTCACTAAGTGCCCAGGCTGACCTTGAACTTGTGATTCTCCTGTCTCAGCCTCCTGAGTAGCTAGGTTGACAGGTGTGCACCATGACACTAAGATGTCTTTTTAAAAAAATGTACACTTCACTACTACTAGTGATCAATTTATAGCTCTCCTCCTCGATGTCCTCTTTGGAGATGGACAGGATGGAGCTGAAAGTCCCAGCCCTCTATCCTCTCCTGGGCTTTCTGGTGACCAGCTCCATCTTGAAGCTTTAGAGTCTGCCAGCCAACCATCATTCATTCCCATACAGACCTAGCGCTTTGAAGTTTCCAAGGGTTTAGGAGTTTACATGCCAGAAGACAAGAATGAAGCCCAGATGTGTTTTGGGGCTTGAACTCCCGCTGTCCCTGAGGTTTTTGCTCAAGGATAGCATTCTATCACTTTGAGCCACAGTCCCACTTCCAGTTACTTTGAGATAAGAGTCTCATGGACTTTTCTGCTCAGGCTGGCTTTGAACTGCAACCCTCAGATCTCAGCCTCCTGAGCAGCTAGGATTACAGGCGTGAGCCACTGATACCAAACTCTGTGTGTGCGCTTCCAACAGCTCCCATGCACATCTCTCTGGCCCTCAGGTTTTGGGAAGTCGGAGCTGAAGAAGCTTCCAGCTGTACCCCGAGAGTCCCCACTCTGGAATGTGGACAGCCCCAAGGACCAGGAGCTGCAGGTCCAATCAGAGGTCACCAGGAAGGAGAGCGACATGGTAAAAATCTGGGTAGGCCTGTCCTGTCCTGGACCACCAGACCCCAGTGCATGGGTAAGGCAGCTACCTCTGTCATAGTAACTCTGAGTGAGAATCCTGTACAAGCACACACATACGCACACACACAACTGTTTCTTACTTGAACCAGATGTTCATTTGTGTGTGTGTGTGTGTGTGTATGCTGGTCCTGGGGCTTGAACTCAGAGCCTGGGCACTTCTTAGATTTTTTTTTTTTTTGTTGGTGTGGGGCCTGAACGTGGCCTGGGTGCTGTCCCTCAGCTCTTCAGCTTAAGGCGAGCGCTCTACCTCTTGAGCCACAGCACTGCTTCCAGCTTTTTCTGTTTATGTGGTGCTGAGGAATCGAACCCAGGGCCTCATGCATGCGAGGCAAGCACTCTACCACTGAGTTACCTTCTTAGCTACCTTCTTTTCTCAAGGCCGGGTGCTCTATTACTTGGGCCACAGCTCCACTTCTGGCTTTTTGCTGGTTAATTGGAGATAAGAGTCTCTCATACCTGGCCTGATGCTCAGTTTTAAGTCTTTGCCATTGAGTCATTCCCCTCCTGTGTGGCCTCTCTGGGCCTTAGTTTCCCCATTGGTGTAAGGAGGGGATTTGTGAAGACCAGCGATAATCAAATAATGTTGCTGTTTTCCTGTTCTCTCTCCCATTCATAACTGCTTTCCTCCCCCCCCCATTGGTTCTGGGGAGTGACCCCAGACCTCACCCCGCATCTCCTGGCAAAGGTTGTTAAAGGTCAGGCATGTCTCAGCTTGTCTGAGGATGCGCTGATGGATTTGTTTTGAAAGTGTGGTGATGCCGTTTTGTAGTTTATTTCATCCAGTCATGATCTGCCTCCTGGACTTGGTGGATATTTGCTCCACAGTCTGTGGTTTACCAAAGGGAGGAGCACAGGGGAGCACAGAGCCAGAGGCCAGAGGCCTTCATCGAGTTCCTTCCCTGCTCTGCACTGACTTGCTCTGTGATGTGATCTCCAGTCTAAGCTGATTCTTTGTTCTTTTTTAGTGTCAGTCCTAGGGCTTGAACTCAGGGCCTGGGCACTATCCTTGAACTCAAGGCTAGTGTCCTGCCATTTGACCACAGCTCCATTTCTGGATTTTCAGTGGTTAATTGAAAATAAGAGTCTCATGGACTTTCCTGCCCAGGTTGGCTTCAAACCTCCATGCTCAGAGTTCAGCCTCCTGAATAGCTAGGATTACAGGCATGCACTACCACTATCGGACTTTCCTTCCTTCTTTTATTCCTCCTTCCTTCCTTTTAGGTGTGTTACTAGGGCTTGAACTCAGGGCTTTACACACTCACAAGGCTCTATCACTTGAACCACACCTCCTCTTCCTCTAACTGTTATTTTCTTTGTCCATGAAATCATGTGCTGCAAAGATGGGCTTTCTCCCATAGGACACCATGGTCCCTCCTTGCTGGGCCTCAGGCCCACGACTTGTCCATACAGGGCACATGACCCTCATCCATGACCACACCAGTGCTCCACCTCTAGCCGGATCCACACACTGCCTTGTTTGTTTGTGTATTTGTGGCGGTACTGGGCCTCAAACTCAAAGCTGCAAGCTCTAGTTTGGCTTGTTAGCTCAAAGCTAGCATGCTACCACTTGAGCCACACTCTGCATGTTTTTTTTTTTTTTTGGTTGGTTGATTGGAGAGAAGAGTTTCATGGACTTTTCTGCCCAGGCTGGCTTTGGACAGCAATCTTCACATCTCAACTAGCCTGAGTAGCTAAGGTCACAGGTGTGAGCCACTAGTACCCTGCTCAAATTGGCCCTTTTGCACTAATGACCTGTAATCTTGGGATTTTCCCTTCCCTTGCCCCTCTCTCTTCCTCTCCCCCTCTTCTGCCTGGCCTGTGGAACGGGGGGGGGGGGAAGCTCACAGACCTGGGGGCCCACGGGGTTTCTGGATGGAGTAAGCAGGGGCCAGCCAGTTTACTCTGGAGCCACAGCGGACCCCTGTGAGGATGTTGGGGTCCCATCCTCACCCTGCCCTGACTCTGTCCTCTCTGTCCTCAGTGCCAGCAAGCAGAGGGGGAAGAAGGCTGCCCCCCAACTTTTGCGGAGTACTGGAGGCTTGAGGGAGGGCGGCTGAAGCTGGACCCTCCACCGGAAGGCAGGGTGCTGAGCACCCTTTGTGAGGCCTCTAGGAATGAGGTGAGGAAGGGGGGCGTTTTGTGGGGGTGCCTGATTCCCTGGGGCTTCCAAGGGACCAAGTGGAGGGGAGACGCGTTCCTCCATTTTATGGGGACACATCCCCCTGGGGTTGGTGGAGCTGAGCCAGCTTCGGGGTAGAGAGAGAGGGGTTGGAAAAGGTGGCAGAGGAGGGGTGCGAGTTTCTGGGGGTAGGAGTTTTCTAGGGTGCAGCGTAGAGAAGGAGCCTGTATCCCCAGGGGCAGCTTCTTTCACTCATTTTTGTCCTCAGCCTCTGTTCGTGGAAGAGCTGGAGGAGGTGGAGAACTGACGTGCTGGGAACAGTGCTGGCCACCGGCCGGCCTGGCCTGCCCAGGTGCCCAGGCCCCCAGGCTCCCCCCAACAGGGTGGCGCTTCTCCTCATAAGAGGCCTTAGAGTTGGGGGTTTGGGCATGGACAGTGTCTCCCCATGTCTGCGGGGTGCCTGCCCAGCCCACTGTCCCCACCCATGACTCGGCTGTGGTGTGGATATAAACCGGTTTGACGTTGGCCTCCTGCGTTCTGTGTGTGGACCTGGCCTCTCATCCTCACCCCTGGAATAAGCCCAGCTTACTGGAGAGGGGTCCCCAATCCAGTCCCCAGGCCTGTGCCCATAGTGTTACATTATTGGGGGCCCACAGCAGGGCATGTAACCAAGAAGGGCATAAGAGTTATGGTCATGGCCTAGTGTGGAGAAAACCCCACAAGCTTCAACTGGCAGGGGAGGCCCTGACCGGAAGGAGGGGCGTCCCTGGGTCCCCCCACACTCAGTTCCCAGGCTGTGCTATGGCCTCCCAGAGAGGATCCGGGAATTCTCCGGCAGGAAGTTCCTGCCCAGCGGCTTAGGGACAAAGCCAGGAAAGAGGCTTTGGAGCCATGGGGTTCTGCTTCAGGAGGGCTAGCCTAGGGGGGACAGACAAGGAGGAGATGTCCCTGGGGTCATGGCTGGAGGGGAGGCTGCCAGGCTGGGGCACCTTTATCTGTAGGCCTGTCATGCAGGCTGGGCAGGGCCTATTCTGTGTCCTGCTTAGGGCTGAAAACTTCTGGGGCTGCTGGTAGAGGAGGCTAAAGGAGTGTTAGGGGGCCTAGGAGTGTCAGATACCTGGCCGGGGGAAGCGCTGCTGAACCCAGAAATAAGGGTTGGGTCCTGGCCTTTACTGGCCGGGAGAGGAGGAAAGGCTGGGAGTCTCAAATTTGGCTTCCTGGGATCATTTGAGCCATGGGGCCATACCCAGTTTGGACACTGGGAGGCGCTATTTGCCAGAAGGTCCTGTTGGCCCTTGAGAGATTTCTTTTTTTTTCCCCTAGGCTCTAAGCGGGAACTGTCCTCCTCTTCCACAGGAGGTCCTCCTAGAATGAGAGCCTGTCTGGTCTGAAACATCAGACTGTGGTAATTCTCCCTGCTTCCCTCTTACCCCTGACCTGCTTCCTCCCCCTTCTTGGAGATAGGCTTGCTCTGTGGCCCCTGCTGGCCTTGGGCTTTCGTGCTTGCTTCATTACTAACACCTGGATTGAACTCAGGGACTTGGCCATTTACAGCAGGCACTCTATTGCTGGAGCAACACCTCTGGTCCTGTTTTCTCTGCTTATTTATGAGATTAGTCTCTTTTTTAGCCCAGGCCTGCCAAGTTGACAACCCTTTTTGTCCTTGCTGCACAGATGCAGGAAGCAACTATGGGCACATGCCCAAGCCTTTTCTGTTGAGATGAGGCTCTGGCCTGTAATCATGGTCCTCCTGATCCGAGTCTTCCTTGAGGCTGGGATGAGAGGCATTACCACACCCAACTATTTGTTGAGATGGGAATCTCATAAACTTTTTGCTCCAGCTGGCGTCAAACCATAATCCTCTCAATCTCTGCCTCACAAATAGCTAGAATTATAAGTGTGAGACATTTGTGCCCAAGCTGACTTGGATAGTTTCTGTGTGTGTATGTGTGTGTGTGTGTGTGTTGGTCCTGGGACTTGAACTCAGGGCCTAAGGTGCTATCCCTGAGCTTTTTTTTTTTCCTTTTTGTCGGTCATGGGGCTTGAACTCTGGGCTTGGGTGCTGTCTCTCAGCTCTTCAGCTCAATGCTAGTATACTACCACTTGAGCCACAGCACCACTTCTGTTTTTTTCTGTTTATGTGGTGCTGAGGAATTGAACACAGGGTCTCATGCATGCAAGGCAAGCATTCTACCACTGAGCCATCTTTCCAATCCCAAGCTTTTTTTTCTTGAAGTTAGTGCTCTACCAACTTGAGTCACAACTCCACTTCAGGCTTTTTGGTGGTTAATTAGAGGTAAGAGTTTCATGGACTTTCTTGCCTTTGAACTTGGGTTTGAACTGCAATCCTCATATCTCAGCTTCCCTAGTGGCTAGAATTACAGGTGTGAGCCACCAGTACTTGGCTCTTTTTAATTAATTAATTACTGAGGCCTGATTCAGGGCCTGAGCACTGTCTCTGAGCTTCTTTTGCTCACGGCTAGGACTCTACCACTTGAGTTACAGGAATACTTCTGCCTTTTTCTGTTTATGTGGTGCTGAGGAATCGAACCCAGGGCCTCATGCATGCTAGGCAAGCACTCTACCACTAAGCCAAATTCCCAGTCCTTTTTTTTTTTTTTTTTGGCCGGTCATGGGACTTGAACTCTGGGCCT